ACAATTACCGCCACACTGACAGAAGCACGCACATCCATATACTCATATCCACGGTAACCCCACACTCACACTCACAGTTGCAAGTTATAACTGCATCTGACAGTTATAATTCAGATTGAAAGTTATGACAACGGTCGATATTTGTAACCATTGTTGATAGTTACAACCCCTGTTGTAATCATTTTCACTTTTGTGCGCTTTTCTCAGCTATCAACTTTTTGAAAAATAATTTTAATTCTCACACTGTCATCTTGTGAGGTCAGCCGCTCTCGTCTTGATTTCATTAAAATATGGCTGCTAGAAATTGTCGAGAGAGAACGGAGATTATCACACTACGGTATCACCTTAGAGATTCTGGATTGAGTCAAAATTGATCATTTTGATAGGATATTTTTGATCTAAGTCACTCTCCTCATAATTGAACTTGTGGTTAAGGAACAGCCTGTTATATAGAGACGACAGGCGTGAGTTCGTGCTAACCCAAAAGCACTTGCAAACATAAACATTCGGTTTCCTAAACGGCCCTCACTGTCTCTTAATAAAACTGTGCATTTAGATAAATTAAACGAAGCAACTTCTGCTTTTGTCAATGTGTGCATTTCAGATTGAAGAGTTCGTCTCATGGGTGTCTCATCCCATCGTTTCCGAGAATATTCCATTGGATAATATATCGGCTTCAAGTTCAGATCGTAGAGAAATAGTAGTCCCACTATGACAGTGAAGGTCAAAAAGCAAAGTAAAACCGACAATAGCTTACAGAAAAAATTTGTTGATGCATATCGTAGTGACAAAAACATTTTCGAATAAACAAGGGCAATACGTCGATTAAAAAGGCAAGTACTTCCGTAAATCACGCCACAACTAATCGACACGAGGAAGTATGTTTCTAATTATTATCATTGCGTAACTGAAAGTCGTACACATCTGAAAATCGAAATCTATTTTTGAGAGGGTGTGGGTGTGGGTGTGGGTGTGAGTGTGGGTGGTGTGGGTGTCGGTGTGGGTGTGGGTGTGGATGTGGTTGTGAGTGTGTGGATGTGGCTGTGGATTGGGTGTGGGTATTGGGTGGTGTGGGTGTCGATGTGCTTGTGGGTATGGGTGTGGGTATGATTGTGAGTGTGTGGATGTGGCTGTGGATTGGGTGTGGGTGTGGATGTGGGTGTGAGTGTCTGGATGTGGCTGTGGGTTTGGGTGTGGTTGTGCTGGAGGTGGCGGTGTACGTGTATTGCTTTTTTTCATCCACACTCACGCTCACACCCACACCCAGGTCAATCAATCCTAGCTAACGGATTCCGACGATATCCGGACCGGAATCCGGTAAAATCCGACAAAAACAGACAGGATTCGATCGGATTTTATGCAAATCCGATGTCAGATCCGACGTCGGAATCCGTTAGTTAGGATTCCGACAAAATTGATACAGTACCCGACAAAAGTATCCCCCCCATTGGATCTCAGTCACAATATGAGCTGTGGATCTGAAAACTAGTGTGCTTATAGTTCTCAATGAATGCTGATCAACGACACCACCCGCAACCAGATTGCATGAAGTATAAGAAAGTTATAATGTATGTTTTCTGTCTGCATTGTGGACTTCAAAACTCAGGAACGGAGAGATTTTATGAGTCGGGGCTAGTTTCATTTTGTAGCTCTACACTTTGGCTATCTGTGATGAAAGTTTCATTAAAATCCAATGAGTCTTTGTGGAACTAGAACCATTTTATTGTATGGGTCGATATGTGGCAAAACCGACCTATCCCATTGTGTACTTCATAAATCAGTGAAAATTTGACAGATCAACTTCAAACTTACAGAATAGATTATCCCACAGATCTTTATTGTTCTCTGAAATTTTCAGCCTTATATCGCTTACTAGAGAGAAATGGCACTATGCTCAAGTTCTAGATGTTGTCATAGGTCTAGCTACTCGAATACTCAAGCAATTGGCTTCATCTTTTGGGTACATAAGTAACATGTAAAGAGGTACAGTTCTACCAAAAAAAAGTTACAAAAATCACTAAGTATCATGGAAAACAAGATATAAAATTTTACACTCAATTTTTTTCTCATTCTGACGACCTTTTATTGTTTTGTTTAACAGTATCAAAACAAACGTTATACAAAAGAATTAAAAGGGATTTGTCTATCTAGTTCAAGTCTGTCAAGGGTCTTCTGATAGTTTTCATCATGATGATGAATCAGAGTAACCGTAGGAGTAAGAATATGAGTAAAAATTGGTATATAATTGTGAAAAGAATAGGAATCCTTATTCTCATTCTCTATCTCTTCCAGCTTGGTCAGAATGACGAAAAAATTGAGTGTAAAATTTTATATCTTGTTTTCCATAATACTTAGTAATTTTTGTAACTTTTTTTTGGTAGAACTGTACCTCTTTACATGTTACTTATGTACCCAAAAGATGAAGCCAATTGCTTGAGTATTCGAGTAGCTAGACCTATGACAACATCTAGAACTTGAGCATAGTGCCATTTCTCTCTAGTAAGCGATATAAGGCTGAAAATTTCAGAGAACAATAAAGATCTGTGGGATAATCTATTCTGTAAGTTTGAAGTTGATCTGTCAAATTTTCACTGATTTATGAAGTACACAATGGGATAGGTCGGTTTTGCCACATATCGACCCATACAATAAAATGGTTCTAGTTCCACAAAGACTCATTGGATTTTAATGAAACTTTCATCACAGATAGCCAAAGTGTAGAGCTACAAAATGAAACTAGCCCCGACTCATAAAATCTCTCCGTTCCTGAGTTTTGAAGTCCACAATGCAGACAGAAAACATACATTATAACTTTCTTATACTTCATGCAATCTGGTTGCGGGTGGTGTCGTTGATCAGCATTCATTGAGAACTATAAGCACACTAGTTTTCAGATCCACAGCTCATATTGTGACTGAGATCCAATGGGGGGGATACTTTTGTAGGGTACTGTATAGGTTTCAGTCGAAATTATTTGGAACCGACAGGAGCCGATGGGGCGTGATTGACCTGGGCACCCACAAATGACTATTTTTTTGAGACAACGACCACGTACCTATGGCACCAGTGACCGTTTCGGTAAATATGGTACAAAAGAGCATATAGCACCCATATTACTAATCAGCATATGATGTATAATAAAATTTTGACAAGTGAACCAGAACAAATACGTCATTTTATGATGTATGAAAACGATATTATTTTAAATATGAGTTTTTTTCAGTAAAAACAGCGCTGATTTTATTGGCGCTTTTTTGTACTTAGAGGAATTTTAGTATTAATTTTTTAATCTTAATCTTATAACTTTCTAACACATGTATGTCGTTATGGCGTCAGTCTGGGGCCAGGTGAATCGGCTGTCGATGAACGTTACTTGTTGGATACGAAAGATCACAGAGTACTAGCCAGTTCAATCCCAGTATATTCCAAAAGAATCCATCCCCCAAGAGATTCAATTCGACCTGTGGATCGTACCAGAAACCATCGGATCCAAACGGATTGCTTCGGAAGCTGACGTCTTCCGTTAAAAACCGGTCGGATCTGCTCCAGTTTGCGTCGGATTCCTTTGTACAGAATTCCCGACCAGATTAAGTCGGAAAGCATAAGATTGGATTCTTTCGAAACCGATGATCGGGTCACATCGCATCCGCACAGAACTTCCTGTCAGAAACACCAATATATTCCCAGTTGATTTGATCCGGCCAGTGAGTCTTACCGAAAACCACAGAATCCAGTACCGGATTGCTCCGGCAAAAGACGCCTTCCGTTTAAAACCGATTGAATCACGTCGCATCCGCTCAGAACTCTCCTTCCAAGTTCCTGGGTATCGCCAGATTCTAGAATGGATAGAGCGGGATTTCATCAGATTCCGACAACACGATATCAAATCGGATTATGCCGGAAGTGATCCTGCGCAATCATTGCTTATCTGACAATCGAATAACATCGGATTTACACCAGATATTACCACCTCAAAAAAATCCGATAGGATACGGATAATTCCACTTCTTTCCGATCAGGAACTCACCGAAAAAATTTGCCAGAGATCCGATCATCGGTTCTCACCGGATATACTAATTTTTCACAAGTTTCTGTGAAATGCTACCGAACTCCCAAGTAAAATTATCGATTCTGGAGAGAAATCCGACAACCGGATGGTCCTCACTTTTACAAATATTAGCTTGCAAGGAATTCGGAAGATGCCGGATGGCTGCAGTTCAGACGGAAAGTACAAGAGGTGAAGATCTATTCCGATTGACAATTTTACCTCGCAAACAACCAATAGCCGATTTCTATGCATAAGAGGCTTATTATAATAAACAGCAACAGCAGATTCATTCACATCTATTCTCGATAATAATCCATTGCACGTAAACAGAAAATCTATCAATAAGCTAATTCATCAAACAAACAAAACTACAATGCCACAATCCGTCACGGATGAAACAGCATAACTTATAAACATCCCAGAACGAAAACTGACGGCCAGAAAAAACATTCAAAACTACAATTTCAAATTCACACAAAACCAGGTAACAGTGCATGCTCTTCAGGACGAAAAACACACGACACAATGATTTTCAATTACTGGTAAATCTCATCCAATTCGGAAGCTATAAATTCCATTCACAATCACAAGACACATCATGGCCGTTCAAAAGATCAATTTTCCATAATTTATCAAGAGACAAAAACACAACACGCTTGCCTAGACTTAAAAGCATGAAATAGAAGCAACTGAACTCAGAACTAAACACTAGTGGCGGCGCCAAGAGAAGGCTACAGGGGGCTGAGCCTCCCCAGAATTTGTCTGAGCCCCCCTCCCCCAGAATTTTTTTTAAAGTTTGTAAAACATTGATAATCTTTTCTGCGTGTGATGTCGTAACATATCGCTTCATACACCGCAGAGATTCTCGTTCAATTTTCTATTGGTTATCCAAAGAATCCAACACAAAACCATCGTCCCTTCTGGCGGCTGAAACACAGTCTCTAAACTAAAAATGAATCCTGACAAACCTAGGACTATCGAGTCCTTTTTTCTTCCTTCCACCAAAAAACCACGTAATAATGAAGGACAAACAGAATCAAACGTGATTATTTCATCTCCACTATCATCAACTGAATCTGAAAATCTTATTTCTCCTGTTTCTGCTTCTTCATGCTCTGGTGATCAAACTACATGTGATCTTGTTTCTGATACTTCATCATCTTCTCTCACAGCCTTGGTTTCTTTGAATGAAAGTTTTGAAGCAAAATCTGCTCCAAATGATATCAGTACATCATGTATTGATCCTCCTGTTCAACCAAAATTAACAACTTATCCGTTGAATCATCAAAAACGCTCATTTCAATCTAGCTGGTTCATTGATAGACAGTGGTTAGAGTATTCTGTTCAAAAAGACGCATGCTATTGTTATTACTGTCGTCATTTTTCTGCTAATAAACTATTTGCTAGTGATACTTTTTCCACTTCAGGATTTAATAACTGGAAAAAAGCATTGCTGAAAGATACTGGTTTGATAAAACACGCATTATCACAATCACATATAATTGCAACAAAAAATTATTTATCATCTAAACAACGAGAAGAAACCAATTCAAGTGTTATTAAGAAATTAGATTCTGGTCGTGCTGTTCAAATACGTAAAAAAACATGATCGTCTTGTGCAGATTTGTTCAACATTACATTTTTTGGCATCTCAAATGATTAGTTTTAGAGGTCATGAAGAGAATGAACAGTATGTAAGTTTGACTTATTTTTAGAAGGTTCAGAGAGCTCTTTCTAAAGAATAGAATTCTTGAAAATCATTAAAACAACGAGTTGCTTTAGGTTATAGAAGGAATATTAATTGTCAATTATCTGACTTATTCTCTTACAATGTATTTTTCGTTGTTTTTTTTTCTGTTTCAGAAGTTAAAATCGGGGTAATTTTCTAGAAATTCTTCATTGGGCAGCAACAACTGATCCTATACTTCAATTAATCTTCCAAGATTGGGTGCATTCCTTTTCGTCCTCGCTCTCCCGAACATCCGGTTATTTGTCCGGATGTTCGGAATCGACTTTAGAGCATAATATCGTGTTTCCGGATGTTCGGAATGAAAACCGTGCAGGTGTTCGGAACGAAAAATACGCGATGTTCGGAACGAAAAATACCCGATGTTCGGAACAAAAAATACTCGATGCTCGGAACGAAAAATACAGGATGTTCAGAACATAAAATGACGGCTGTTCGGAGCAAAAAGTGACGAATGTACGGAATGAATTTTGGTGTCTGTTTTTTAATATAGAAAAGGATTCATTCATATAGTATCTTTTAAGACCTTTAGTGTAGCGATCTCTTGTGCATTCAGTTAGAGTTTTTTAAAGTAGTGTAGAGTTCAGTAGTGAGCGATAGATCTTACAGATAGATAGTGTAAATGAGTAGTAAAAATAAAGATCCGCTTTTTGCGGAGGCTAGCAGCTCGAGGGTCGGGTGTAGGGTGTAGGTATTGGTGTGAGTATAGTTGCAGAGAAAACTCGAACTCGAACCCACAAAACACGCCCACTCACACCCACACCCTCAGCCACCCCACCCACATCCACACCCACACCCT